CTACAGAAATCGATTGTTTAAATCCATAGTCAATTGTTGTCTGATTATATGCTATCGGTAAGCTTTTTTTATGATCTCGTGAATTTGCATGTTGAATTAAAATATCATGCTTTAACCAATCAGATCCTTCTTGCGTAAATTTATTCTTTTTTTTAGCAGCTTCACATAAGGTACAAAACATTCTGCCACCATCTTCATCTTCTTCATAACGTAACCAATCAAATTCATCTTTCCATTTTGAATTAAATTTTAAATTCTTTTTTGCAAGTCGATTTTTTTTATCAGTTTCATTATTTATTCTGATATCTGTATCAATATCAGTATTTGTATCAGAACTTAACGCTTCTGTATCAGAAAATGGTTGCTTTCTTTTATTAGTTTCTGAATTAAAAAAGTCATAAATTGACGTATTTTTTGTTTTTTCTTTTACTTTTTGTGACATTATAAACTAATATTAAAATTTTTACAAAATCAAATGCGCGCATCGTTATCAATATATATAATAAGTATTAAACTATACATGTATAAGTGCTGCCAAGGAAAAACCTGTTATTGGTCTTTTGATTATACTAATAAATTAAATAGTTTGTATTTAACAAAAAATAATTGAATGGCCGATGACAGGTTTTTTTGGCGTTATTTTCTATTAATTACTTACCAAATTTAACCTTAACCTGATATTATATAATCACCTTGTTATTCAGCATCTCAAAACCATAAACTATCCAAACTGGGAGAAGCGGCAGGTGGATTTCCAAGGTGGTGATAACAGATGGATGTTTATATAGTTAAAAAGAGGATTTGGCTGTTGTATGAAGCATACACTTCAATATATTATTACAATCTCTTTTGAGATTCTTGCAGCTGTGAAGCCTGACGATCAATTAGCAAAGATCTTTGCATAGCTACTGCAGTCGCAAAGCCTTGTTTTACTACTGGGGTACAAGTGGGACAATAGAGCCAGCCTCTTCCAAGATGAACGATAGCAAATCAAAAAATAACCTCATTTTCATAAACAACCGCACTTATGAATATCTCCTATTTGTCCACCCCTTCCTTACTATTTATACGCTCGAATCTTTTTCATACTTTTAGGTCTGATAATCACTACGTACCCCTTCATTGATATTCATAGAAAACTTAATATCAATTGATTATTCAATTATAATACTAACGCCCTAAACCAGCATCTAACAGGAATATTAAGATGGAATTATTAAACTAACCCAAAATAAGAACATAAAAAAAAATCATACATGAGATCTGCAATAAAGTCGTTAACAAGCTTTTCAGTTCAAAAACGCAATAAAAATACAAGTGTGATTAAAGAATTACTTTTATAATATACTTTATATATTAATTTTCCTTGCTTAGTCATTTTTTGATCAAATTCTGCAGATCGCAACTCACACATACAATTAGGGATGGGAACGGCTACAGCTATAGCCGGTTATAGCCGGCTATAACCATAGCCGATATTAGATGAACCGAACGGTTTAGCCGACCTGATGCCAGATTTTTAATCTTTGGTTGATAAAAATAATAATTGTTGCATAATTAAGTATGAAATCATATCGGTTTAGATTAGAATTAACTGCAATTATTGCTTTGCGGTACCCAAAATCATTCGAGTTGAATACAGATCAAAAGGCAGTCAAA